GTAAATGAGCTATATGTGGCTAATTCATGGCTAAAATTGCGGAATTGAAGGGAGCCCATGCAGCACAACTTCTCAACCCTCTTTCTCCAAGGGGCTCAGATATTAGAGTTACTTCATAAACGAACACAAGATCCAGCCATGCTACTGTCACAAAGGTGAGAGGGCAGTTAGTAAGACTTCTTAGTGCCTCATACCAAAGAATCCTGCTACAATGCTAATGCCAACAAATGTGGTGCACTCTTTGTTCACATGTTTTGTAAAAAATGAGCGGTTACTTATATCCCGTAAATTTGGGATATCAGCAGCCAATTATACCACTCCTCCTTCTAAGATTGTGGGAGTCTTTTGGGGCTATTATGCCCACCTATGCAATTTTAAGACATCTTCCTCTGCCCACCACAGGGATCTCATATATCAAAGATCAGGGAATACCTTCAGACAAATGTACACAAACATTTGCCTCTCAAGGCAAGTCAAGCACTTGATGACCTAAACATAGAGGAAGAGCTAGGATATGCTTTGAAAATCTCAAAACTGGGAAAGTGTCCAGGCCCAGATGGGCTCCCACTCTGATTCTACAAGCCAATCACAGGAATATTGTTTTCCTGAATTGTGAAAGCCCTTAACTCTCTTAGAGAAGGTGGTGTGATCCACTTCCAGACCCTTGCAGTGAATCCCAGAGGACATCCTAAAGGAGGGCAAGGACATGGAGCAACCTGCAAACTTCCTCCCTATATCATTATTTAACTGTGATCTAAATCTGTTCACAAAAATCCATTCTGCAAGACTCTAATGCTATCTTCCTGAATTAATCCAAACAAATCAGGCAGGATTTATCTCTAAAAGTAAAACAATGGACAATACCATTCAGACATTATCAATCATTCTACACAATGTATGTTCAGAGGGTCTTCTTCTGTTGTCTATGGATGCAGAGATGGCCTTTGATAAGGTGGGATATGAGCCTCTTTTTGAGACACTATACTATCTGAGACTAGGTCACCAACTATTAGGATGGATTAGGCCATTTGCTCCTCACCGTCAGCCGAGGTATGTTTCAAAGGAGCTTTCACTAACCCCTTCACGATCCATAATAGCAGCCGATATGGCTGCCCCCTTTTGCCATTGCTCTTCATCTTTGCCCTTGAACTTCTCCTGATCTCAATCAGATTAAATTTGGACATTAAGAGTGCACAAATATGCCATACTGAACACACAGTCACTGCCTATGCCGATGACTTGCTTTTTTTATGTAACAGAGCCTGCCACCATCCCCCCTGATATCCTACAGTAAATAGAAACCTACTGATCTTTGGCCAACTTTTGCATTAACTGCTCCAAATCAACTTCTTGGAATGTTTTCATACCACAGTCCCAAGCCAACCCTCTGTAAAGTTATCTCCTTCCCATATTCTGTTTAGGCCATCAAATATCTGTTGGTGTGGGTAATGAGGGATATCAGTAGTATTTATCAAGCAAACTTTAAACCACTGCTAGATACATTTAGGAGTAGTCTGGTGGAGTAGTAACTTCCACACCTCTCCTTAATGGGCAGTGTTGGGGTCTTCAAAATGATTTTACTCTTGAAGGAACTATATTTGTTCCAAACACTGTCAATTTATATCCAAGAAGCATTTGTTTCCTCATTATGTTTGCTAGTTATTCAATATATTTGTCAAAAGAGCACTCTGCAGATAGGCTACACTACTCTGATGTTGCCAAAATCAAGGAGAGGTCTGGTTTTGCTGAACTTTAGATTGTGTAATATAGCTACACATCTCCTGAAAATTTTAAATTCTAAGACAGGCATATGCAGGCTTTGGAAACAGATATAAACTTTTATGATATCAACTTATAGTTCTAGTATGGATGGACCAGAGACTGAATAAACAACTGGCAACCCAATATCCCCTTATTCTGCTCACTTTGAAAATATGGCATACAGTGGCTACCAAATGGGAGTTGTCCTGATTCCCATCTCTACCATACCCCCGGTCCACAACCCAGCCTTTAAACCAGGTTTGTGTGAAGATGCTTGTGATATAGCATGTGAGAGGTGGCTTGTGGTGTTATATGTGTATATGTGGATTGTCAGTGGTGTGGTGTAATGTGATCTGTTTTTGTGTGGGCAGTTTGTATTATTTGTATAAGGGAGAGGCTTCTTCCGCAGCTCTGTGTATAACTGGCAGTGGGAGTTGCTTCCCTAGGTCTAGTGGGGACTGGGATGGCCAGGTACAAGTGCAGTGAAGAGTGATCTGAGATCACTTTCTCTAAGTGCTGCAATGCGTAAATAAAGGATTGTCCCTCACCACCTGCAATCACCGCTCAGTTTGCACTAGCAGATATCTGAAGTCTCACTGGGACTCCTGCTATGCCAGAGCCTGTTTATCTCTGACATCCTTGAGTGCCATATTATGGCACCTTGGGTGCCATGCATGGCACACGTGCCATAGGTTTGCTGAACCTTGCCCTAGAACATGTTTCTTGATTACACTCTCCAATAGGAAAAGCACCTCTGAGGTTCATGTGTAAATGGGTTTATAATCTAGAAACTACACTCACTCCAGCTCGTGACCTTGCAAGCACAGTGCACATTCTAGTAGAACACAGGAAACAGCCTACAAATTGTTGGTCCATTGGTACAGAATACCACAGTTATTGCACAACATAGACCGAAGGGCAACCATTCATACGTTTGATATAAAGAAATCCATGACTGTATGCATACTAAATTTAGTTAAAGGCCTTATACCTCTTTTCTGGAAAAAAATTAGTGGAGTGCCACCACCTTTAGTGAATGGAAGAAGGCTCTATTGAGGACATAAACTAAGCATGATCTTGAAGTTGGACTGCTCCACTCTGAAAGATTCTTAAATCAAAGACTAACTGCTATAGTTTATCATAGTGGGAAATATTGTAATTCTAGAAGATCTTGTTGAGCGATTACATTTCTTTATTTCATTTTAAAGTCCAGATTACATCCTGTCTAGGGGTTTTGTCAATCACATTTGGGACAATACAGCTATATATTTGCAGTCAATTTTTTAAACTTGATTTTCTTATTGGAGCTTTTTTTAAAATATAAATGTTCTTTCACTCTTATGTTTCTTTTTTAAAGGGTAGTATGATATCACAGGCATTGAGATCTATTTAATTAATCCTTAAGCCTACTGTCATTTAAACTCTTGAATGTATATATTTTTAGTTACATAATTATTCTGCTTTTGTCAGTAAAGTAAATGCAGGTCATCGTCCCTATTCTGTATTTATTTTCTACATGAAAAACTCTTTAATAAAAAAATATATATACTTGTATGAACAAACAGCAAACCCGGTAAGTGCAAAACCAAACAGCTGCAAGAAAAACAAAATCACTATAAAACGTATCCATACCACCATTGTTCCCTTGCACACACCTTATTGAGGGAGTGCATATAGTGTTGGAAGCTGCACACAGCTCCTTGTGGCGCCCACCAGAAGGTGAGACGCCACAAGGATTGGGTCAATGGCTGTCACAGGTTGCTGGACAGGGGCAGCGAGCTCTAATGACATGTCCCTGCTTCCTCGCATGCACTCTGTAGTGATGCTGGGAGCTATAACATGACATCATTCTGGCAACTGGCATCACCATAGAAATCCCCACTGGACCCCAGGGAGAAAATCCCCACTGGACCCCAGGGAGAAGATACCAACTGGACCCCAAGGAGAGCATCCCCACTGGACCCCAGGGATAGGGCCCACACCAGCTCTCCTAAAGTTAGGGAGGTTGGATGGGTCTAAAATAAAATAAAAAAAACAATAAATAAAATGAATTTGTGTGTGCAAGAATGTGTAAATTATTTGAGTATGTGTGTCTGTCAGTGAATGTGTCTGTCAGTAAGCATTTCAAATCAGTGACATTGTGTGTCTGTCATTGAGAGTGTGAGTCTGTGTGTTTAAGAAGCATTAATGTATATTTCACCATTTATTAGGCAAAGAGCTCCTTTTGAAAATCTTTAGGTGACATTTCTCCATATAATGTTGCAATTGGTGTCTGCTAAATAGGGTTGTTTGTTTCTCCTGTGTGCTTTGGACATATCCCATCATATCACAATTCATGTTTTATTTTTAAGAAGCATTAATGTATATCTCACCATTTATTGGGCGAAGAGCTTCTTTTGCAAATTCAATGGTGACATGACATCTCTTCTCCTTTCTATATAATATTTGCTATCATTGCGTCAGCTGAATTAGATTTATGTGTAAGAAGCATTTATTATGTATATATCACCACTTTTGTACTGCATTCACTGTTCTGCCCAAAATAGGGAACTAACATGCTTGCCCAAATAGAGTCAACAATCTACCAATATCTTTTGGATGAAAATGT